TGGGATTATTTACAAAAAAGGAAGATCTAAGCTAGTCCTGGTTCCAAATTTTAAGATATTTTGGTCTAATTCGTTACTAGTCATGTGATATGGCCTGAATTATAATTTAATTTCTTAATGCTGGCCAAAAATCTAAGTTTACAGGTCTTACGGGTCTCATGGACTATGTTTTCTCGTGGTGGTTTCTTCTGAGCAGTGGCGACGGTATCTTTCTTGTTGTGTCTTTCTCATGGTAGTTTTTTCTGGTTGGTCGGCCAGTTATTAAAAACTGAGCTACAAGCTTAGTTTATATTAGTATATGTATTTAGTTTTATTAATAAGTTGTGAATTACAAATAAAAATCAATCTATATATAATTTTAAGAGTAATATCGATATTCAATTTTGCGTTAATGTTGGGTTGTGAGTTCTCTTTGATATCGTTCGAGGAATGGTGTAAGTGGACTATCTTTAGATATGAAATAACGTGTTGTTTGATTTTGAGCACGAACTGGCGTGTATTTTCCAAATATCGTTTGATCGCCCAAAGGGATCACCAAGGACCGTCCTCTACAAAATTGGTGATATTTAATAGATGTGACTATGTTAAAGGGAAAAAAAAATTAAGATGTCTCTTACGGTGTTGGATGTGCCGCCTTCCAATTTCTCTTTTCAATTTCGAATTCAACTCTCTCTTGCTATTTATTCGTTTAAAGGGTAGTTAGAGTGGAAGTAACCAAAATATGTATAAGAATAAAGTATTGTAACAGACCAGAAGCATTTCTCGGTCTTTGCCCAGCCGTATTAACTGTTCAGTGAACTTTTTGCGTTCTGTATTCAATTGTTCCCGTTTTTTAATTAGATCTCTGTTTTCTTCGTCATACTCGGGTATAGTAGTTTCATCACTAATCAATCAATAGAAAACGATGTTAAAATATCTCAAATAATTTGTAACAGTTAGTTAATTAGTTACATTGAATGATCCGGTAATCCTTCGTGGAAATTATTTTCAATCTGATCTTCGAGTAAATCGTGAGCTTTTTTCGCGTAATCTTTAGCTCCCTCTATTAAAATTTTCACAACCAACGTCAAACAGTTAAATAATAATAATAACTTTTTTCTTTTCTATTATACCCAGATAAAACAACAAAATTCTTACCAAGCTCCTCTTTCAACACATCTATTTCAATCTGTTGCTGTTGTATCTCTTCTTGTTTTCGCTCGATCTCCATAATTCGTTGTTGTATTTCCATCTCCTTCTTATTCAACTCACTCATCTGTTGATTTATCTCCGCGTCTTTCCTTTGAATCTCGATATTTTTGTCGCGTATCTCTCGGTCTTTTTGTTGAATTACCAAATCACGTTTATCTATTTCGTTTTCCTTTTCTTCGAGTTCCACGACCATTCCAGCAGGCCTGTTATTCCATTCATGTTTGAGTGTTTCAAGAAGTTGGTCGACTTCTTCTTCGAGATTTTGACCAAACATTCCGAATGGAAGATGAAATTTCGCAGCTTGTGGATTATAAGATTCTGGTGTCTTGTAAGAAATCAGATATTAGAAAGTTAATTTTTAATTAATATCATAATTACTAATCAGGAAATTAAATACTTCAATTCCGAGAAACTCTGGATCTATGTCCATTGTCCGTTTGGGTGTCATTTGGGTTTGAGTCTGAAGAAACTCGGTTAATTTCGTTTGCATCTCGTACAAAAGATCACGTAATTTTTGATTTTCCCCAAGTAATTCATTTTGTCGAGCTTCATGATCCGCTAGAACTTGCCTAAACATTTCATCATCCTATTATTAAATTCATATTCAGGGAATAATTAATTAAAATAAAGCAACGAATCATTAAGAAATGATGTCATTTCTTACATTTGACTGAGAGAGGTTAGACGATGATAATCTTCGAACTGATGGCTTTGGTGCTGGATTTATCATTTTGAGTCCAATCTTTGCACCTTTATACTTTTCATTGAGTACTTTTCCCAT